TTAATCATTCAAAATCTTAATTTTATTTTAAATAATTATTAAATAATTATATTTTATTTTACACTGTATTATAAAAATCTCTAGATTATTTTGTTACATTAGTAGCTTATTTCAGATGATGATAACTTTATTCAGTGAATGATTCATTGTATGAAGATCAAATAGAATCTTTCCACCACCTCACTCCGACTCATCCTTCCAAATCTTGATACGTAACAACTTTAATTTCACAAACCCCATTTTTGTACCCTTTGTCTTCTCATTATCTTCCTTTGACAACTTCCTCAAATTCGTCATTTTTGCTGCTACTGTAAACAACCCGTGTGCTCTGTTTTTTGTCAATTGCTGAAAACAAGCAATGGGGTTGCAGAAAAACCTCTTGAACAAGAAAACCCTCAATAATGTTGTAAAAACTATTTGGGTTTCTGATAAGTTTAATCCGTCTTCCCTCCGCCGGTTTTCGTCGTTGCAGCAGCCGGAGATTCCACCTTTTGATTATCAACCAGTTCCATACAAAGGCCCATTAGCCGATGAAGTCTTTGAAAAGCGAAAGAAGTATCTTGGCCCGTCTCTCTTCCATTACTACCAGAAGCCAGTAATCTTCTCTCCCTCTCATTGCTTATAATAATAGAATCATGTCTACGATTATATATATATATATATATATATCTGTGTGTGTATAAATGTACATATATATACATGCGAGCCTTTGTGATTGGCGCGTTGGATCAAAACAGCCATATGATATGAAAAAATCCCAGAAAGTTTTGCCTAAATTTTGAGTGGTAGAATGGTTTGTATTGAAAGAATCCATAGTTTTTTTGGGGGGGTTTTGAACTGCGATCGTTGATTTGATGCATAGTCTCAAATGCATTGGTTAAAAAAGTGTATGTGTAGTTAAATGGATTGACCTTAGGAGCCTGTAGAGTTTGGATTCGAGAAGTTAAATAGGATGTTTGAATATAAATGACAGTGAATTCTATTTGGAAAAACAATCAAGAATTGGGTGGTTCTTTTTTCTTGAAAATGCCATCTCCAAAGATTTCTTGAAAAAACCCAATTGTGTTCTTGGACTTGATTGCCATGTGTTGCCCTTAATTTGTTATGGTTGTAATTAGGTCATATTATCCTCAACGACATTTTAACCCTTTTTTTGGGTAATTGTGGGTTTCCAGCCTAGCTTACGCACACCTACTGATCCCCGGGCGACCACAAATGGTCTGGAGTCATCGCACATGGGCAAGGGCTTTGACAGTGCTTGGAGGGAAGATGAGATTTCCACTACATCCCTCTTAGCCTCAACCGTTGCGCCACAACCCAAGTGGCTATTTTAGCCTTTTTCACCTTAGGGTTTGTTTGAAATATGGTTTATGACCTTCAAAACCGATTAAACTCTTATTGAAAGGCGTTTTATTTTACTTCCATTTGTCCACTTTATTTGTTAATTCTTTTGTCTCTAAATGTTTCTAGTGTAGATTTGTTTTTGGCATGGAGATAGTATTTTGTACATACCATATCTTGTTCCTAAAGCTCGGTTATCCTTGCAGCTTAATATAGTAGAAGGGAAGATGCAATATTTGTTTGATGAAAATGGGAAGCGTTATCTGGATGCATTTGCGGGGATAGTTACAGTTTCCTGTGGTCATTGCCATCCTGAGATTTTGAGTGCTATTGAGGAGCAAAACAAGCTTCTTCAGCATGCTACAACTATATACTTGCACCACGCAATTGGTGATTTTGCAGAGGGACTAGCAGCAAAGATGCCTGGAAATTTAAAGGTCATTTCTTTGTTTGTAATGCCTGTTGCTCCAAAGTTTTTATAACCCGACTCTATAGGCTATTGGCTTTACTTTTAAGATTTAACCCCGAGGGGATGGCCTAGTGGTAATTCACTAAGATTTGGTGTCTCATGAAGTATCAAGTCTCGGGTTCAACCTACTAGATGTTGTCAACTCTTTAAGGGTGCATTTGGTGGGTGGGAGTCTGGACTATACAAGAAATTGTTGTCCTGGGTTTGGTGTGACAATTAGGCTTGGACGGAACAATGCTGAGTAAGACAAAATGCGTTTTCTTGTCCCACCGAAATGGTTGGAACACAAATCAGGGAGAGGGATCGATTTGATTATGAATAATTAATCTGCTCTAATATCAATTGTTGGTTCCAGATTTCTCAATTTTAAGGATTAAAATAGAAATAATAATATAGGTAAATTACTGAAGTACTCATGTCAAATTAAGACCTTAAAACCTTCCACAATTCTTTCACCCGCCTACCTCACTCTCCCAGGTCCGACACCATCCGGTCCTTTGTTGGCCAGAAGGCCTAAATTTTTCTTGTCTGTGTGGAGGGGACGTCTTGCATGGACCCGTGGACTAGTCGGGCCAAAGGTACCGGATGCCATGGTTATAGAAAAAAGCTTTACTTTAAGATTTGATTTGGTGTCATAATCGACAATTAGTAGACTAGGACTGTGTAGTATGTACTCCCTTCATTTCTTGAATCCTTTTAATTTTCATTTCTTCCTTTTTGCAAATTCTATTGCACAAAATTTTATTAGCAAGCTGAAAGTCTTCATGAAAACAGTCTCTCTACTCCTCAGGGTAGAGGTAAGGTCTGCTTACATTCTACCACCAGACCCTACTCCGCGTGAGATTTCTTGGGTTCGTTTGGTTTGGTTTATTGATTATGAAGTTGAAAGTTGTCAATTTGATTTCAAAGTTGAAAGAGGACACTTCTCATAGATGGTATGAGACTCATATGTCGAACTCTGTTTTTCTTCTTAGGCCTTCTTCACTGTAGCATAATTGTTTTATCATTGCAAGAATTCGTTGCTTATTTGTAAAAGTTCGTTTTTATGATAATATAATGTAGTATAACAGGTTGTGTATTTTGTAAATTCTGGGACGGAAGCAAATGAACTGGCAATGCTCATGGCACGGCTATACAGTGGTAACCTTGGGATGATTGCCTTGCGAAATGCATACCATGGTGGAAGTGCTGGTACAATTGGATTGACAGCTTTGAACACATGGAAATACCCGATACCACAGGCATGTCTACTCACTAAATCTTGGAAAAAAACAGATCTTTAGCTAAACATCATGGGCTTATTTCAGCATTGTAGCATCTTAGTCGAGTATGAACCCCAAGGGGTTGGCCTAGTGGTAACCAAGGACCATTTTCAGGCTCTATCCAGGCTTTCTTTTAACCGTTAAGGACCGTTTCCAGGTTCAAATTTTAGGACCAAAACGGCTTTCACCTATAACGGGTCCTCTGTGCGTCTCTAGTGGTGATTAAGTAATCTTGGGGCCTTATGAAGCATTAGGTCTAAGGTTTGAATCCCACTAGCTGCAGTGATTTCTGAATCTTTAACATTACCAAGATTTTGCTTGTTTCAACTCCAAAGTAGAACCCATCTGCATCGTATAGTTTTTAATACAATTTTGGGTAAACTTCACTTATGTTGCTTATTTACTTCATATTTTCTGTGGAATTTTCTAGGGTGAAATTCATCATGTCGTAAATCCAAACCCCTACCGTGGGGTCTTTGGCTCGGACGCTAGTCGCTATGCTCAAGATGTACAAGATCACATTGATCATGGTACTTCAGGAAGCGTTGCTGGTTTTATTTCTGAAACGATTCAGGTTGGTGTTAAATACTCCATCGCCGCTGTCTTTTTTAGAACCTGAGGGGTTGGTGTAGCAGTAATGTACTAGGACTTGGTGATTTGGATCCCACCAAATGCTATCAACTTCTTAGGGCAGAGCGGATCCAAAAAGAATCTGAGCGGGGCATAAAATAATCAACATATATAAAATAACACAAAAATTAATCATAAAAAGTACGGTTTAGTTAAAAATGACATTCTAATGTTTCGTTTGCTGCTATCAAAAACTAAAAAAGAGCCAAAGGGAGTCGAACTTGCAACCTGTAATGGCACATGCGATCACACTACCAGTCGACTGTATCCACTTTTGTTAACTTACGGGAGCAGAGCACACATCAAATTAAAGGGGTGCACCTTTAAGACCCCTAAATTTTTCCCCACTTCGCATAGACCCTGTGGACTAATACGGCCATATGTGCTAGATACCATGGTTATGAGTTCGATTCCCTTTAGAGACGTGAGTGCGAGTTTTTTTCTTTCAAGAAAATGTTTTACATAAATTCAAGATTTCAAGTATAATGAAACATGTCCCCACGGCTTTAGCCTAATAGGTAAGGAGGTGGAGATCCTTGCAAAATGAGTGGGACTTCTAGGCACTACCCACTTGCCCCATGATGGCCATGAGACCAGTATGATGGGGGCGTTCCAAAGGGTGGCGTCATACCTATTGCAAAAATATAATGAAACATTAGGACGTCACAGAACCTTGATAATTCGTAACTCATCTTTCTAATCTCACTTTTCCCTATATGAAACGAAGGGAAACCTTTTGTTATTGAAACTAAAAACAAGAGAACTGAACAGAGATTTGAAGACGACAATCGGATATATCCATCAAGTTACCTAGTCTAGATGCATAACGTCATGTCTACGAACCCCATAACGCTAAAAATAGAGTCCAGTGATAATGATTCCCAGTCCAGATTCCTATAACGTTGTCAAGTTGTTAAAAAGGATCTTGCCTTTGTTTCTTCCGCCATTCTTAAAGAAAAGTTCTGCCATTGGTTCTTATTTTATATCATGTCAGATTTCTACAACTATTTGTCAAATTGGAATCTTGATTGAACTATAGGGAGTTGGGGGAGCAGTTGAATTGGCCCCTGGCTATTTGAAACCAGTTTATGAAATGGTACGTAAAGCTGGTGGTGTCTGCATCGCTGATGAAGTTCAAACAGGATTTGGTCGCACAGGAAGCCATTACTGGGGTTTTCAAACACAGGATGTAATTCCTGACATCGTCACCATGGCAAAGGTAACTTCTCGTCTTTTTGCCCCGTCTTTTAACTATTTATGATAATGGTTTCTTTTGAAATTTGAATATCTTTTGTTATTGATATCATTACAGTATTATTGTTGTTGTTGACTTCACGACGTCCCAGGAACAGTCTGGTGTTTTGAACATCGGGCGCACCCACACACTTAGATCATGCTTGGCAACCATAAACTAGCTTATTTTTTGAGCTTTTTGAAAAAACCCGCTATGAGATAGTTTTTTGAAGAGCTACTTGAGATAGCTTATTGGGCGTTTTCACCTTTTTCCAGTTATACCCCTTGTGTTTTGCATCTTGAGAGAGCTTATTGGGCCTTTTTCACTTTTTTCCAATCATGCCCCTTATAAAACATAAATTGCCAGTTATATGTCATTTTACATTGTGATACAGCTTATTAGCTAGTTTTTGCCAAATGTAACAAGTTTATCTGCTAACAGCTAGCTTATCAGCCATCAGTAAGCTAGCTTATCAGCTAGTTTGCCAAACATTAGCCTTAAAAATCAGCACCCTTCCAATAATTTTCTTGCGCGAGTCTATTGGTCGATAGACACTGTTACTATGGAAGGGCTTCTAGTTATCGTTCAATTTGGAGGACGGCAAATTGGATACGATTTCAGTCCGATTTCTATGACCCCATTTTTGGAACAACCTTTTTGGTTATATTCTGAATTGCATATACGCAACGATGCTTAATGATCTGTTGTGTTCCTTTATTCCTTGAATGTTTCCGAGATACCTGCATCCATTTGGGTAACTTTTCTTGATCATTATATCCAGGGAATCGGAAATGGTTTACCCTTAGGAGCAGTGGTTACTACCCCCGAAATAGCACAAGTAATGGCTCAGAAAATACAATTCAACACCTTTGGAGGGAACCCCGTATGCTCTGCCGGTGGACTTGCCGTGCTCAGAGTTCTCGATAAGGAAAACCGTCAAAAGCATTGTTCGGATGTCGGGTCCCATTTGATCGGACGATTGAAAGATCTTCAGCAGAAGTTTGACTGTAATCTCCTCTTGAACTTGACTTCTTGTAAATATTTTCACTTTATTTTACTGCACGAAAGCCTCTTATTGATCTTTACGTCTGTTTTCTAGTAATCGGAGATGTCCGAGGGAGGGGGTTGATGGTCGGCATTGAGCTCGTGACTGACCGGAAAGAGAAGACGCCAGCGAAGGCTGAAACTGCGGTTTTGTTTGAGAAACTAAGAGGTAAATGAGAAATAAAATTTAATCCATATTGACCCGTTCTTGCATTTTTGGATCGAAACGGTCCCTCTAACCTTGATATCATCGTTTTCATTTTCGTGAATAAAGAGCTCGGAGTTCTGGTTGGCAAAGGTGGATTACATGGGAATGTTTTCAGAATAAAACCACCTATGTGCTTCAACAAAGATGATGCAGGTACTCCTCTTCTCTTCATATACATAAACATATACACTTATCTGTATATACATACATACATGCATGCATACATACATACATACACACATATACGTATACATGTAGAGTTCATTTAGGAACTATGAATATTTTGAGAGCAATGAGAACGAGTTGTTCATAATGAATATAGGTAGCTATTCATATTAATCATCATGCATATTATTCTCACAGTACTGTTCTCAAATGAACTTGCCTCTATGTATACATAAAGATACATACATATATACATACATACATACATATGTATGTATGTATGTCAATCTATTGAAAGGACTCCAAGTGTGTGTATTTGTGACCGTGCAGATTTCCTTGTTGACGCGTTGGATTATTCAATATCAAAGCTGTGAAAATGTATCGTAGGGAACTCGATCTTTGCCAAGAAGCTCAAGCTCGAGTCATGGGATCGTCATGTCGAACACTAGCTTATTAAACATCTAGTGATGGTGAATATGACGATAGCTGTTGATATCCCGGTTTATAAGTTGTTGTTACACATCGTAATTTACTCCAGTCGGGCCCTTCATGGCCGGGCCCGTTTGACAAACTGAATATTTTTCTTTATCATCATTTCATTTCTTTCAACGAACCACGCTACCCCGTCATGTGCGTGTGTGTGTTTTCACTCAAAACCGAAAATAAACCTTGGGCATAAGCTTTCCCAACTCGTTATCTTAAGATACATGGCAAAAACGAACAACTCGAGCATAAAACATCCTTATGTTTCGATTTAATCGTTCGATGAGTTTTCTTGATGCAAGCTCGAGTTCGAATTTAGAAAGATTCGAGCTTGATTTGCGAGTTCGAATGGCTCAAAATATGTTGAATCATGCTTCCATAAAAGAGCTCAAAAATGGTCAACAAAATTACGTTTCGATGAAGCAAATTTGGTTAAAACTCAACCTAAAAATATGGACACATATATTTCGTGGCTCGAAAAACTTGAATTGAAGACTCATAACCGGTTATTATTGTAATAAATTCGTATTTTTGACATATTAAATATTTATTAAAAAATAATTAAAACATAATTCATATATGTGTAACTTTTTGACAGTCGGTTCAGTCCAGTTCGCTCAAAATATGTTTAAACCGCAGATTGGACCGGACGGTTTAACTATTTTTCAGACTTGATCGGATCGCCAGACCACTTAGACCGTCAAAAATGGTCTGGTTTAACTTAGTTTGACCGGCTTGAACGATCCAATGGTTTTTTAAAATATTTTAAAATATTTTAATTATGTTTTAAAATATGTTAAAAAGTATTTGTCTTGTAAATAATAAATTCAATAAATATATATATTTAATTTATTTTTATAAATTATATATAAAGAATAAAATTTAATTTCATTACGAATTTCTAAAAACCAAACACACCAAATATTCCAAATCATTTTAAATCAAATATCTCTAATTCCAAATCTTTCCAAGAAATTCAAGTCCCTTAAAATCATTCTATCAAACCAAATGTCCCTTTAGGGTGCGTTTGGTTTGAGGTAATGATTTTGAGGAATTTGAATTTTGTGGAAGAATTTGGAATCTTTAGTGTGTTTGGTTTGTAGGATTTGGATTCCATTCTTTATAAGTAATGTATAAAAATAAATTATAAATAATTACAAAAATAATTAGATTACCCTTTTATTAATTGATTATTGCAAAACAAATATTTTTGACATGTTTTAAACATTATTACATATAAATCATCTGAAATTACATGAAATACCAATCACCATGTTTGTAGGATTTCAGTTAAATCCAAAGGAGAAATGCATTGGATTTAAAGAGATTTGGAACTGAGTTACATTTCAATCTCATATTTAGCTTAAAAGATTTCATGGATCTGAAACACCAGGATTTAATTGAAATCCTACAAACATGAGATCTTGAAATCCAGTAGTTAATATTTCATGGGATTTCATATGATTTGTATATGAAAATGTTTTAAGAAAACATTTATTTTGTAATAATCAATTAATAAAAAAATAATTTAATTTTTTATATTTTTTTAATTAATTGAATTCGATTAAATTTTAAATCACTAAAGATTTCAAATTCTTCCAAATTCAAATGTTCCGAATTTCAAATCATTTTACAAAATCCAAAAAAATTCAAACTATTCCATTAAACCATACATCCATTAAAGTTTTACAATCTTTAACGAAAACTTTATAATAATATTATAAGGGTATTCGTACAATGCAACGAGATATATCTTCATTTTAATGTTTCATTTTTATTTTTTTGTTTCTGTTGATATAATACGATTTATGTGGTTTTTTGAGAAAGATAATGTTTTTACGATTTAGTGAAGTAATTTATTTTTGACTTAACAATAAAATTTTATAAAGATAATGATTCTGTTAGAACTCAATGATTATTCTAATTATATTCTAGATTTTTTATATTCAAAATTAGATGTTTATCATGTATTTGATTATGTTTATCTACAAYTARTTATACGAATTCAAACATGAAGCTTTAATAAGTTGTACTTACGCACAATTTATTTGTAATCTTAAAGTTTAAGTAATATGCATTAATACACAGTACTTCATGCATAATAAATGATTTTTAATAGTTTTTGTCAAATGCTTTATAATATAGTATAAATATTTTAATATTAAAAAGTTGAGTAAATAAATAGTGTTTTTATATTTGGATAAGAACGAAAAAAACTCCAACATTAAATTTAGGAGAAATATAGATAAGAAATGTTAAATTAAAAAGTTAGTTAATATTTTAATAATATAATTAATGAAACATTAAATATTTTAATAATATCTATATTATATTATAAAACATTTGATGTACATTTTTTAAAATTATTTTTATACATGAAATACTATTTATTGATGTATATTATTTAAAATTCATGATTACAAATAAAATATACATAAGTACAATTTATTAAAACTTCATGTTTGAATTATGTACCTAACTGCAGATAAACGTAATCAAATACATGATAAATTTCTCATTTTAAAAATAAATTTGAAAGTACAATAATTATCTAACATAATACTTAACTAGTTGTGTACCCGTACAATGCAGCGGCAGCCGTGAATTTTAACGATTTTGAAGTTTCACTAGTTTTATTAGAGAAGTTTTAACGATGATATAAGTTACAATTGGTTTTTACATGTTAATACAATTTGAATAAATAAAGAGTTATGATTCCAATTACAGTCTATCGATGAAAAAAATTGTATAACAGTTTAAAATATAATATATTTAAAATCCAACATATTTAAACGACTCCACAAATGTGTTCAATTTACACAAAGATCAAAGAATCAAGAGATCGAGGGCGAGACCGAAAATTGTAGAGCAATTGAATAAGAGATGAATGAGAGAACTTTTAATAGTTCATGATGAATATTAGTTTGAATCTCACATTGGAGGATGAGAAGAAGACATAGAGGTATGAGAAGGTGAAGACATGAGTGAAAGATGTCAAAATTATATTGGAAACATGGAAAAAAAAAAGGTAATAATGTGCATTGGTAACTTGCACTATATGTTATTTTAATTGTAGATTAAGAGATTTTAAGATTGAATGCATAAAGTAGTATTTAATGCATTATGAGTTGTTTTTAAGACTTTTAAGATTTTGTGCACTAAAAATTGTTTTTAATTTTTTGATAAATTTGGTTTATAAGATAGTATAAATTATTATTCTTATAAAAATTATCTTATTAAATAAAAAATAAATTACTTTATTATTAAATCTAAATTAAATTATAATAAAAATAATTGAATTAAAAAAATTATACAAGAAAACTAGAACTTTTATATATTCTTTTTTAAATTTATACTTTATTCAAAATTAAAAGTATTATCGATTTTTAAAACCACATAAAACCATATTATAACATCCACAAAAACAAATAATAAAATGAAACATCAAAATCGAGATGTATTTTACTGCATTACACGAATACCCTTCTAGTAATTAATAAAACATTAAATATTTTAAAAATATAATTAATATAAGAATATTTACAAAATTTCCTGTGACCCGACCCGATTAGTTGGGTATGATTTGGCCACATCAGCTAGAGGCTGACAATGTTTTGACCTTTTAACGCGATCCATGGCTTATAAAACTACAAAAATCGGAGATTCATTCAACCAATCACCACCTCTACCCTCCTTCCTACACTCATCTTCCACTGCTTTCGTGTCCTCTTCTTTGCCACTTCTTCTTCTTTCTCATACTTGGCATAGCAGAAGGATCAATTCACTATGATCTTTGTATTTGTTCAGGGTTAGGGTTTAATTCAATAATAACCCATTTATCATTTCTGTTGTAAAATGGCGGCATCGTGTTTTTCTGCATCAGCTTCACTTGAACTCTCTTTTCTCCGTCCGGAAACCGCTGCCAACAAACTTCGCTTCTCAATTTCTAGACGTAATGCTCTTCGTAAATTGAATCTTGGAGCTCGAATTCGAGCATTGAAGAGGGAAGAAGTCGTTATAGTTGAAAAGGAAGATGGGAAAATTGATTTGGGTGGTAATGGGAGTTATAAGTATGTTAATGGGAAGAATTCGAACGGCAGTGTTGCTGGTGAGAATGAGAGTCTTATCAAGTATGTTAATGGTAATGGTAATGGTAATGGAGGAATTGGGATGAAAATTGGGGAAGAGGTTGAGGCGAAGAGGGTTGAGAAGAAGAAGAAGACAATTGAGGAGATTGGTCAAGAAGATGCCTGGTTTAAGCGGAGCGGAGATGGTAACCTGGGCAAGGTCGAGGTATATGTCTGAACAATTTCCTGTTTTCACAATTCTTTGGCATGCTGCAAAGTCTATATTGAATTTCATGATTATGTTCGCTTTATTTGATCCCTTTTGAGACAAATCATTGAAGAGTCCCCATTGTTAAAATAAGGATTTCATCAAATTTACTACACACAAAAACATATAACCCTTGATCTATGTAATTTCAGAAAGTTTAAGATTGACTAGAGGAAGTAATAGACCATGGGTTTCAAACATTAGTAACACCACAAAAGAAATTTGGCGACTAGGTCACTTGTAGACGAGGGTTAGGTTCCTTATAGTTGTGACATGTTGTTGAGTATGCATCGATTTAAAACATTGAATAGACAAGAAGCTACAAGATAGCAAGCATATAGATACATTGCTAAGCATAGTGGCTTGTTTGCAATTGTGATGATTGTTAAAGCTTGGAGTAGTAGTTATGAGGTGTTGGTGCCATTCAGCTGTCTTGTTATGCATTTTTTTTGGGTGATGTATGATAACTTATGAAAGATCCCATATGCTGAAGGATCTGCCAAATTTATATTGGGTGTATTATGATAGTGAAAGCTTGAGTAAACATGTTTTTATTTATGTATTAACTCTTTTGGGAGTGTATACATGCTTCTGATACAAACTTCAATTTTGTAGGTATCTGTTGCTCCTGGTGGACGGTGGAGTAGATTCAAAACTTATTCAACAATTCAAAGGACTTGTGAGATATGGGGTTTTGTTATAACTTTTCTATTTAAAGCCTGGTTAAACAATCAGAAATTCTCATATCGTGGTAAGTTACTAGCTCAGTTGTATGATGAACACAAGATGATTTAATTTTTCTCCCTTCAGTTAGAAATTAAACTGGTGAAACGACTTTAGAAGATAATAACATTATAATCAATGTGCCCACGTAGACACATAGTCTGGTCAGCTCGTCATATGTTATCACCTCTGTACATACCCTACATTCTTTATTGTGGCAGAAGCCGAACATCAGTAAAAATTGCAATAGAGATAAAAAAAACCTTTTATGCTCTGGATTTTGTTTACTTGTGATAGTCATACTACAATTAACACCCTAACCATTCTAAGTAGCCATGTCAGCTCCAGTTTTGTTTGTGCACACCTCAGATACCTCCCTGTGCCAGCAGCAAAATGTTAGTAAATATAGGCCACTGAAAATTGGAAAACAGAGATTAAAGAAAAATAAAACGTGTCCTTGATTTTGTGTAGCTACAGGCATGCAACAATTAATCACATAAGCACTCATAGTAGCCTGGTCAGCTCCAATCATAGGTTATCGATCGTGTGCATATCCATCATTCATCTGCTAAAAGATTAGTAAAATACACATAGTTACTGGAAACTCACGAAAGATGATAAAAAAAAGCGCAAGCTTTTTGATAGAAGTCCCCTGATTAACTTTAAGCTTCATTAAAGCTGGAAAGATAATTGTATAGACCAATCAGAAAGGACATCCAGAATTTAGCCTTGGGTATAATTATTTTTACATGCTTAAAAGATTGGTCACAATAGTTTGTAAATCTATATAATTTTCTTGTAGAAATTTGTTTGTCATGAAGGAGTCATCAATGATGCTGTCTGGACAAAAATAATTTGCAAGTAATAGGATATTCCGCATCTGATTTTTTAACCAGCCAATTAAAATTGCGTGCCCTGTTAATTGTGGAATTCTCAATTAAAGTTCTTTTGCGTTCTAAATATTGTATTTCCACTAGTTGTTTGGTACTCCATCTTCATGCTGTTGGCATATAAATTTGCATGTGCTTATAGTTTATTGTCTTCGTCGTCCTTATTAAATTTTGCTTAACTCTCTGGTTGTTTGCAGGAGGAATGACGGAGCAGAAGAAAGTTCAAAGGCGGAAGATTCTAGCCAAGTGGTTGAAGGAGAGTATTTTAAGATTAGGTCCTACATTCATAAAAATTGGCCAGCAGTTCTCGACAAGAGTGGACATTCTTGCCCAAGAATATGTTGATCAGTTATCAGAACTTCAGGTATAATATATTGTAGACATATTACCTTTTATTTGAACCATTGGACGTTTTTATGCAGTAAAATTAACTAAAAAACATCCGTGTACTAATTCTATGATTGGAAGCTTATTTTATTGCAGCTGGTAGGCCATTGATCTGTTTAGTTGTCTTCTGTTATTGGATAGGCTATGGTTCACGATTTCTCTCACTTTTTTCTCTTAAAATTTTGACTCCTAATATTTAATTTTTGGTTTTGCTACTTGCAACTCTGAAGAGGAAACCTTTTAAACTAATTGTAGGAAGTATTAACTTTATGTTTATCGTTAGTCCAGGAAGCTTGAAGAAGTAAGACTGAATATAGCATCAGGCAGATGTACTTTAATATATCAACAGGAGAAACAGATAAATGTCACTGTACTTTCGCACTTTCTTCACTTACTTGCTCAAACATGTGATCAATTGATCTTATTGTTTGGGTATGTATTGAAAAAGATATGAAAGTATGGGGATGCATTTATCTATGTTGCCAATATCAAAAGAAAAAAAAATCTGGTATCTGAGTTGGTTTTACTTCACAAACAGGTCTTATCACCTACTACTCATCGTTATCTTGTCACTGCTTACTTTTAACTTCCCTTAGTATAGTTGCATCAATGAAGTGTAATGTGTTTTTTTTTCAAATGAGCTAACTCTATGAACAAATATTGCTTACAGGATCAAGTTCCTCCTTTCCCGTCAGAGACTGCCGTTTCTATTATTGAAGAAGAGCTTGGAGCACCTGTGAATGAAGTATTTGATTACTTTGCTTTTGAGCCAATTGCTGCTGCCAGTCTTGGTAATCAGAAGTTTGTTTAAATCTCAATGGAAAAACTTATGCTGATGAACCATTCATTAGTCTGTCATGATATTTGTGACGACCAACAGATTACTAGATTCCTGGTAGTGACATATATTTAATGCAGGTCAAGTACATCGAGCAAGATTGAAGGGTCAAGAATTGGTTATTAAAGTACAAAGACCGGGTCTCAAGGGTCTTTTTGATATTGATCTTAAAAATCTGAGGGTTAGTTTTCATCTAAGTCAATACTTGATCCTTTTTTACCTATATAATAATATCGCTTGTTTTAGCATTGAGTTGCCAGTTGCTATTGTTAGTGTATTAGGCTCTGTCTTGTTTCCATTAATCTTCTCTAAATCGTGTCATCTAGGTTTTTTTATGTACAGTTCTTGGTCCATGTCTCACTTGATGTGCTATTAAAGGTTCTCCTTCATAACAATGTATCGGTCCACTCACTAGATCTCTACATTGTAATAGAGCTTAGGCTTTGATGATCAAAACCGTAGTTCACATTACTTTTTTGCCTCTGCAGCCAACAACTGCCATTTGCTTTCCATTTTGGACTCCCAAAGCAACCAGCTGACCTAATCATTCCTCAAAGCGATAATGATTATTCGATCATCTACATAAGAGAGGATTACATTAATAGTCTCTGTGTCTGTGATAGCTATTTCCATTACATGGGATGACACTTAGGGTATAACCATATGTGGATTAAACCTTCAGTTCAATGTTAGGGATATTAAGTACTTTCATGGTACTGGGACATGACATTCTTGAAAAGGATCTCTTGTTCATCAAAAGAATGTGTCTTAATCTTGTTAATGGGGTGCAGATTACAGGGTTTCAAACAAGTAGATTCACTTAAGATCAAAAACACAAGTTACTCTGTCAAGATCGGAAGTCACTGTTTTATCTAGAGAAGTATAGGAGATGGTTTGAAATCCAATTTATGTGATACTTACACAGCTTGTAAGTGTAGTTAGTTAATTAATATAGGGACATATCATTGTGGTGCCATAAGCTCTAGTCTCTACCTAGTACCTACTACTGGATTTGAACCAATGACTCCCGCCATATGAAAGCAATACTCTAACCATTGATTTCAGTATGTCATTTTATCTTCACAAAGGAAACCAAACGGGACTAGACAACTTCTTCTGATGGAAAAAGTAGACAGCTATGACAGATGTCATCTATGAGATGACATGAACGAGAATCCTCCTACACAAGTCAGGAGTTCTTCGAGATAGGTTGATGAGATGACAGTAATCACCTATCCATGTAGCCTAAAATGAAGTGTTCTACATGCATGCCGAACACATAAGAGTTGCTTGATCTCTGATAGGCAACTCGCTACTCAGCCTTCCTTGTCCAGACTTGGTAGCAGCTTTCTGACATATTAACATTACCATAATGATTTCATCTACGGCAAGTTAGGCATGAGTCACTTTTTCACTTCAACTTGAGTGTTGTGTATAGGATTCTCATCATCTTTTTTTTAGTCTCTGTCATATCCTGTTGTTTAGGGTTTTATTTTTCTATTCCTTGGTCCCCCACTTGATGCACTCAATTTACACAGGGTTCTCTCATAATGAAGTATCATTTGCAACACTAAATCTGTCCATGTAGACAGTAAAGGTCATTTTGGTGAAGTCCTTCATTTTTCAACATATATATGCAAACTGTAACATTTTGGTTATGTTATGCATTCAAAGTTACAAAGATCATTAAGATACTTATCACACTGATATACAATGACAATGAGATCACTGTAAATAACTCATATGTGGCTTTTCTTTCCCAGTCCTCACGATTAAGTTAGTTGATTTTTCTTTTCATCCTTATTACATCTGAGTTAATTTATATGATTTTCTGTTGCAACATTTTTTTCTCAGGTGATAGCACAAAATCTTCAGAAAATTGACCCCAAGTCTGATGGTGCAAAAAGGGATTGGGTTGCTATCTATGATGAGTGTGCTAATGTCTTGTACCAGGTAACTCTTTTCTAGCCCCAACATCTTATAAAGTGTGATATTAGTCCAAACAACAACTTGTGTCCAGGTGTTATACAGTGTATACAGTTCCTTGTTACAATTTTATGGTTGTCCATGGATTTTAGAAGTTCATATAGTTGGGTTGATATAGGAGGTTTGCTAGGTTGGTACCTTTTCTTTTGAATTCAAGTTCATCAATTGGAATAAAGACATGTGAACGTGTCTGGTTTCTTTTGATGGTGTGATGATTCAGATATGAAAGTTTAATGAGACAGGAGCAGGAGCAAGAGCATGCCAGATGTGGCTTGTTGCATAATCCTTGATAAAAGAGAAACATGTGGCTATTTATGCGAGTTTCTATTTTGTGAATGATGCTGAAGTGAGCTTGTGTATGGATGGGTATGATAGTTATTGAGGCATTCTTACGTCATACTGGTAGCTTTGCAGAAGTAGAGGTTCCTAATTTAATTTAGATGGACCATATTTAGAGAAGGCTCTCTTGTGTAGGTTGTATATGCATGGAGACATAGTTCTCAACACCTTTACAGGCATTGTTACTTTTTTCATTATTGTTATGATGCAAAAAGCTGAAACCCTGTTCTTGACACCTACTGATATATTCCAATGAAAGTGGTCTCATTGTATTATTATGGTGCAAATGCGCCCCTGGTATTGCCCCTTTCCATCTCTCTCTCTCTCTATTGTGGGCTTATATCTTGCATGCCAGTTCAAATGTCATCCTAACAGGTCTAAGCACCAATTACTTTTCAGTTTTATATTCATGCACTGATTCTTTCTTGTTTGCATAAATCAAAGGCAGGTTGTTGTTAATGAGTGTCATTTTTGTTTCCTTCCAGGAGATTGATTATACAAAAGAAGCTGCAAATGCAGAGTTGTTTGCAAGTAATTTCAAAGATCTAGATTATGTAAAAGTCCCCAGGATATATTGGGAATACACCACCCCACAGGTTAATGTTCAGTACCAAATATAAATTGATTCAGATTTTGCTAGAGTTTTTTCTTTCCCTTTAGCTCAATAGGTTGTTCCGATTGTAGGTTCTTACGATGGAGTATGTCCCAGGAATCAAGATCAACAGGATACAAGCTTTAGATCAATTAGGTGTTGATCGCCAAAGGTTAGTGTAGTATTCTGCTTACAACTTTGCACAACACTTCATGATTCCATGTACATATATTAATTTTCTCTATACCCGCCACTTCCAGTATGCAAGTCATTCCACCAATTGAATTGTGATATCATCTTTCCTTTTTTAACATTTTCCTTCTGTTTTTCTTTTTTCTATTTCTAATAGGCTAGTCGATGTTGGTATTTATTGTCCTTACATCTAGCATGTCCTATTATATTGTTATTGTTCTTCATACATTTATTGGGTCATACTGAAGTGTAATTCACCCCACTTACATCTTAACCCTTTTATGCGGGCCCTAAGTCAGTTGAACTCCGATGTGCATTTAACTATTGTGTTGCTAGAGAGAAGAAGAGGGATATGTAGAGCCTACTAAAAAGTAATAAAGAATCAAAGAGGATGTACCATTCGTAAAACCATATCGTATAAGAAATCGGAAAATTATTTGGAAGATCCTAAATTGGGAAGGAGGACAACCCTTCTAAAATTATTTGGAAGATCATATATGTTATGTATTTGTAAACAGAGAAACAACAAAAATATTAAAATGAGAAACAACAATGGAAAGGAAAAAAAAATGGAAACTAAAGACAAAACAAGAATGTGGAAAAAGAAATAAAAAATGAATACATTGTGCCCAAGAGAAAGATATTTTTGTCCACCAAATACATAAGACTTCTGTTAGGGCTTACATGTAGGTATCAATCATTAAGAGGCAAGCTGAATTATTAAGACCAATCAAATTGAGAAACAAACCATCTTAATGAAAAGATATCTGAATGAATAATTCATTAAGAGCCAAACAAATATCCCCCAAGTCACTTGTCATCTTTTCCCTTTAGGGCTGCTTTCATGATCTTCTGAGTGTCTTGATTTCAATTCATCGTCCTGCTAGTCTACTAAACAATCATCTTAATGTTTTTCGTTTCTTTTACACCCAGGGATTGTTTGTTTTTTCACTTTTACCTCTTAATCACCACTTATGTCTGATTTAGTCAGATGTTTTACAACTCAGACCGTTTGTTTTTTCACTTTTATCTCTTCATAACCACTTATGTCTGATTCTGTCAGATGTTTTACGATTCAGTATACGTAGATGTGGTTCCTGGCCCTATTTTCTACAATAAATATGTACTGTTTGTCTAGGCATGTGACACACTTCTCCCAACTAAACATATTCGGTGATACCTATGTTCCACAGGCTGGGAAGGTATGCTGTTGAATCATACCTCGAACAGATTCTGTCTCATGGTTTCTTCCATGCCGACCCTGTAAGTTTTCTGCTATTTTTCTGGATTTTGACATAGATGGTATATATATGCTTTCTAGATATCAGGATCATCATGTGCACACAATAAATTATGAAGAATAAACCTAATCTAGTAATCCTTTGTCTTACTAGTATCACATGAGAAATAGCAGAAGAATTCCATGAAGCTAATAACATCATTTTAGTGAAGCTCAAAAAGAACTTTCTTGGTCTCTTAAATCCTAGCTGTGGAATCAGCACTCATGTCTATCGAAGGAAAAAGTAGAACTCTAATTGTAAGTTCTATTAGATGCTAAAAATATCTGCATCATAACACTTGAAGAAATTAGACCAACTTCTTTAGTTCTTTTCCAGTAGATGTGTGTGTATATATTCATGTTTGGTTTCATTCAACTTTTTGTGTAAGCGGATTAACTATATTTTAATGCAAAAAGTACCATCCCCCCACCTGCTTTAGAAAACGAATTGAAGAAGTCTCAAGTTAAAAAGAACTATTAGTTGGAGAAGAATTGATCCTAAGATTTTAGTGAAATATGTACTCGGTACTCTATTTGAAAAAACACATCCTAAGCATGAAGAAAATACTTGATTACTTTTGAACGACCTTCGTGCTAGTTTGCCTATCGCATTCAGGAAATTTAATAATTGGTAGCCTACTGACTTTTGCTTCTCCCAATAGAATACAATCCAATGCATATGATAAAAAGTGTTCACCTTCTTTGATTCAGCATCCTGGTAATATAGCTGTTGATGACGTGAATGGTGGAAGGCTAATATTTTATGATTTCGGAATGATGGGAAGGTAATACTGATCATCTTGCTCTCTCAACCAAAAAAATTCCTTTTGAGAAAACGCCATAGTAAGTTTTCTTTGAAATACTGAGCCTTGTGTTCTTGCAGCATAAGCCCAAACATCAGAGAAGGTTTGTTGGAAGTTTTTTATGGAGTTTATGAGAAGGATCCAAACAAGGTAATTGGTTATCTTCAATTGTTTTTCTTTGTTGTATTGATTACTTGTCTGTCATTTTTGGTATGATCGCCTGTTCAATAATTACCTCTACAATCATCTTATGATGCAGGTACTTCAAGCAATGGTCCAAATGGGTGTTCTTGTGCCTACTGGAGACATGACAGCTGTCAGAAGAACTGCACAATTCTTCCTTAATAGGTTATATCTTAAAGCCTGTACTTCGTTTCCCTTTATTGATATATACATTGGTCTTATTTTGTGTGAGATTTCTACTACTGCAGACAATAATTTTCATGCATGAACAAACAGATGCTAGATTTCATCCATTTAGTTGTTAATACACCAGGAAAGGAGCAAAAAGTAGCTGAAAGAAAGGAAATCTATTAGTTCTTCGTTGAAGTTTCATTTATTCAATGGAAGTGATATATGTGGTATAGTAATATATAGACCACACACACATATCTGTGAGTATATATGAAATATATTTATATATATACAGAGAAAGATGTGTATATATAGTTCTTCTATCATAAGCCAAAAGTGTAGGTTGCTCCTGTTTGAACAGATGAAAGACGGTGTCTGTCACCGGTTGTACATTATTGTCATTCTCACTTCTTGTATTCAGCTGATATATATCCATCTATGACGTGATACCAAGCGTCTTACTTCACTATGTAGTTTGTAAGCAAACCGAGTGGGTAAACTTCTTTTATTTAATTAACACATTCCAACCTGATGAGAATCAACAAATTAAATATCGAATTAAGAAGAATGATGGAGGAAATTGGATCTGTGATTGAAATTGAAAGGAATTACAATAACGAAAAATGAACCAGGGAATCCTCCCTCTCTCTGTGCACTAATGCGAGAGCCAAGAGAAACTTAGGAAAACATTCTCTACTCTCGAAAACGCTATACCACCCCCCCCCCCTATTTAGAGGTAAAAACTCTCTCCTCTAACCAACTTCTAGTCACTTTCCTTTTCTGCCCTTTTGGGCCTCCTAGGGTATACTTTTAGAATACTTGGTTTATTCTTATTATGGTCCAGTCCAACCAAATCCGTAACACAACCAAACTTGTTAGTTCAAACAATTACCGAGGTAATGTCCAAGAAATTAGAGTCTGCTTTTGATATCACTATAGACAGAATCTGTCTACTTGTTGTTTGAGATATTGCTTACCATATTTCTTCCTTTCACCAGCTTAAAACTAAATGTGCGCGTTATTTGAGATATCTAATTTCACTCATCAATGTCAAATAGTTTGGTGGTGCAAGTATTGAATTTGTTCTTATTTTATGGAGAATATACATTGACGTAGTAGAACTAGCCGGAAACAGCATGTGACATGTATCAATCATAAGCATCATAATCATGCAGAATAGCCTGCAGCATCAGTGTTCGGTAGTACAGAGAAGTAGGATCTCAGGGGGCCACTGTTGGATATGGTGGCTAGAGGGGGAAATATAAAAAATAGAAGGCTCCAATAAGACTTAGATGCATGGGATAAATTAGCTGAAGATTATAACAGGATTTGGACCCCAAGCCAAATCTCATAGGTCTTATGATGCTTCGCAAGAGAATTTGATATATCAAGAAATGCAATCAAAAGCTTATAAGTTATCCTAATTATGTGGATTTACATGATCAAGCGATCTAGGTGGGTATATTATCTTTTGATATTTTCACTTGGATTTATCAATTTTTAACCATTTGTAGAATTTTAGGAGTGTTGTGGGTGTGAAATGGTTAGCATTTGAAGGATTACTCTAAGGAGCTCATAATTGACTAGTACAGGAAAGATATCAGTGCTTTTGATTTGCAGATATCTGTAGCAGAAGGAAAAAATTGAAAAGGACAGAAAACGGAATTTGTATTTCTTATACTCTAAGGAGGAACCACATGAGTGGATTGCCAACAAGAAAAATAAGGTAACCTTGGTGAAGCTAACGTTAACAGAAGGGGTAGGACTGTAACACTAGTATCATTTTTGGTACCCGAGAATAGCCAATGAATACAATTTTAAGGACATAGGATCAGGTTTCGTACTACCGGGTCGATTATCGTGTATATAATAGACATAACTGAATATTTTTAGAGGTGCATGACAAGTGGAGTACCAAGGGCATAGGATACTAGAGGGATGTTCCTATCTAGCATAGAGGAAGGCATGCGGTTAATGTGAAATTTAGCAGATAAAACCACATCCTGCTATGCATGAGAACCAGATGATGTATCTAGAGTGTGTATGCGACATCAAGAAGATGCGTGTTTTTTCTTTTGGCAACCCCATTTTGCTGGGCACATGAAGACTTGTGTAATTGTAATCTATACTATATTATAAAGCATTTGACAAAAACTCTTAAAAACTGTATATTATACATGAAGTACTGTTTATTAATGCATATTACTAAAAATTCAATATTACAAGTAAATTATACCTAAGTACAACTTACTAAAGCTTCATGTTTGAATTCGTCTAAGTACTGCAGATAAACATAATCAAATAAAAGATAAACATCCCATTTTAAATATAAAAAAATCTAAAATATAATTAAGATAATCATTAAGTTCTAACATAATACTTAATTATTATCTTTATAAAAATTTATATTATTAAACCAAAAATTATACAAAAAAGAGAAATTTTAAATAGTTAGTTTGGTACTAATATCAATTTTTTTTAAATTTTTTTATGATATCTTCATATTTATATTTTATTCAAAAATAGAAACATTATCGCTTTATCAAAACCACATAAAACCGTATTATAACATCGACTGAGACAAAAATGAAACATTAAATCGAGTTGTATCTCGCTGCATTGTGCGAGTACCGTTCTAGTATGCTGTAAAGTGTCTTTCCGTATTGCTCCTACATAATGTTCTACTAGGTAGATTTAATTGCTTTTTACCATAAGCACAAGTTTCACACAAGATAGAAATCTTTAACTTCCTGATTTGAATAAGTGAACTAAGGTGGCATGTGAAAATCCATCAATAAATGTAATTTTTAAACTTCTGAAACCTAAGGCTCAACAGGACATGATCCCCACACATTATTAATGAACTAGAGAAAAAAGAGAATCAGCTCAACTGGAAGTATGGCCAACCAGTAGTTAGATCCCTAGCTAACTTAAAAATTCCGGCTTCAACTTCTTCACTGTAAGCTGTAGCCAATGAAGGATTCCCAAACCAATAGTGAGCTCGCTCACATGTCTCACATAGATTGGTGGTTGGTGTGTGCAAAGCATCCAATTTTGTATAGTCCCGAGAACCACCCTATGATGATCAATCGGTTCGTCTGTGCGCCCTGATAGACACAATGGAAGGGATAAAATATTAGAGAACAATTTGAATTTTTGGTTCATACTAGCAGCAGTTAAGTAGTTTGGACAAAAGCATCAACAATGGTTCTCATGCCAATAAATAATAAAAACAGAAACAATAGAAATCTGGTCAGCCAGTTGGCCAATCAGAGCAACATTATATCTGTATTCAGAGGCACAACATGGCCTGCACCAATGGGGTGCAACTCGGTGGGCTATTGTGGTAATTGATTACTTTCGGTCATGAGAACTTATGGCCAGCTGCCATAAAACTTGATGTTTGTCGGTCACGAGACCTATGGTGTCATGTTACCTGTTGACAAAGGCTAGCAGCTGAACGAGATTTTTCAGGAGGGGCTAAGCGTATACAATGTTAGCTAGGTTCTGATACCATGTGAATAGTTAGGTTGTAATTATTTGCCTTATTTATGAAGGAAGGCTGAATATATTCGATGGTGGGACTTTGGGCCGGAAGAGGGTAATCTAGAAACGAATGCAATAACCCTACTTAAAGGACATAACATAGATGAGTAACAAATAATAATAGAACCATAAAACAATAGTTAATATGTAACCTAATGTTGGTAGTTGCACTTGGTCCAAACATAGGCATTGTCTCATGCAACATAACCTGGGTGCTTCTGTTTTTAGTTTGCATCACCAGTGCTTATATGTCCCATGTATGTTATTGTTGCAATGCAGGTGTTTCCCGAATTAACTAAGCATTGACCAAGTTTTTCGATGTCTGACCTAAACTTTTACAGCTTTGAAGAACGCCTTGTGGCACAAAGGAAGGAGAGAGAGTTGGCAACAGCAGAACTTGGATTTAAGAAACCGTTGAGCAAAGAGGAAAAAGTAGAGAAGAAAAAGCAGCGTCTAGCTGCAATTGGTATTGAATTCCTCTATCTCTGCTTCCTGTAATGTCTTTGTCCCGGTAGTTATGTGCTTCTGCAAACTGTTGCATTTATTAGATGATATTAGTTTCATAAACATGAGCTGTTTTTTTCACGTACAGGCTTGTTTGTTTTTTGCTTAATCAACTTAATGAGCTTAATTGCTTATTTGCTCAACCATTAAGCATTGTTTTTGGCTCAACTTTTAAGCAATGGCTGAAAATGGCTGAATTGGATAAGTCATCATGTATCTGCTATCCAAATTTTTGAAATACTTCTTGGAGAATAATCCTTGAAAATGCTTTCCATTCATCGCATTATTAATACGCTCTTTATGATCTTTGATCAGTTACAGAAGATAATTTAAACCAATTTTTTTCGCCCATGGTCCAGTGGCAAATGTATTATAAGGTGTGAAATTGTTAAATGTGCTCATTCATCAGAATTTCAGCATTTAGTAATATTGTTTATTGCATTCTTTTTGTTTACATTACTATACAATTTATGTTGAATAGCTAACTTTGTTCAACCATCTTTTCAGGGGAGGATCTATTAGCTATTGCAGCAGACCAACCATTCAGATTTCCTGCCACCTTCACCTTTGTTGTGAGAGCTTTTTCAGGTATCAGGATCTAAATTTTGGTGATCATCGTTAAATTGTGATACTAAAGAGAAATGCATTCTCCGATTAGATACTAAAATATTGATAAGAGTTATAATTCAGAGACATATCTGACTGTGTTTTCTTGTATCTTTCAGTGTTAGATGGTATTGGGAAGGGTCTTGACCCCCGTTTCGATATAACTGAAATCGCGAAACCGTGAGTGTTGTTTAAGCTGTGAATGTGCTCGCCTGTAAATCTATCAATATGCTGATAGCGGGTCCCTAGTTATCATATTTGTTGTTGTAACATGTCAATTTTTTCTATTTCTAGCTATGCTCTGGAACTGCTAAGGTTTCGTGAAGCTGGTATTGAAGTGGTCATCAAGGTTTGATCCGCAAACCATTTGTTGTTATTGGCGTTTATGCATTCAGGAATTAATTTTATTTGTGAATCTTGTTTGTGGTTTCAGGATTTCAAAAAGAGATGGGAAAGACAATCACAAGCATTTTACAACTTATTTAGACAAGCGGACAGGGTTGAGAAACTTGCTGAAGTCATTGAGCGATTGGTAAATATAATTCTTGTGTTGTATTTAGGCCATGTTTGGCAACCATAAGCTAAGTTATTTTTCGGACTTATTGAAAAAGCCCCATTTGGTTATAGCTAGCTTATTGAAACGCTAGCTTCAGGGCTATTTTCCATAGCTTTTCAACATGTCTTTTTTGACCCATTTTACATGTCACATAGTTTATCAACTAGTTTTTATCAAACATAGCTTATCAGCTAACAACTAGCTTATCTGCCAGTTTGCCAAACATAACCTTAGACAAGTTGTCAGGGTTGAGAAACCTTTGTACTTCTTTTTTCTTCATTAACTTGAATCGCCAATTGGCGTCTCGTAATACTTTGTTAACAGGAGCAAGGTGATTTGAAGTTACGAGTTCGAGCATTAGAGTCAGAGAGGTCCTTTCAACGTGTTGCTGCTGTTCAGAAAACAATTGGAAGTGTAAGTTTGTTTGTCTCTTTGTAAACTGAACTCATGGCATCATGTTGAAATGGTATATGATACTAGATTACTAGTTTGATGGGGATCTTCGTAATACAAATATATATATATATATGTATATATCTTCTAATTGCTTCCTCCTTGTTTCCGTCTGTGGTCTAATTGGCAGGCTGTAGCTGCTGGAAGCCTAGTAAACCTGGCAACTATTTTATATCTCAATTCAATCAGAGTAAGCAGCAAATTTCATTTATACTTCAATGACAATATAACTTTTATCTAAAAAGACGCAAATTAGTGTACTGAAAAACGATACAACAAATGAATCTTTTGATGTGGGGTTACCACCCTTCGCCAATAAGATTTCAGTTCGATGTTCAAAATCAAACTACTTTGACTCTTGTATACATGCTTCTTACAAACATCTCATGTTGCCTTTCAGGGTCCTGCTACGATATCATATCTCTTTTGTGCATTTTTCGGTATCCAAGTTCTCTTTGGCCTGCTGAAGGTCAAAAAACTCGATCAGCGGGAGAAATTGATTACTGGAACAGCTTAAACAAATTGTAAGTAATTTATGTTTAAAGTTTAAGCATTGCTCTGTAGAACAGGAAGACCCTTAATGATTTGTATCAAAATGGAGGATTGATCTATACAGATTAAGGGCCTGTTTGTTAGCAGCTTAATGAGCTTAATGGGAATCTAAGCTTATTCGCTCAGCTATAGATGACTGTTTGGTAGTGGCTTAATGATATAGAAAGTGGCTTATTCAATAAGCTTCTAGGGGGAAGCTTTATGTAGAAAGCCAAGTTTTTTAAACATGTCCATCCCAATTAAAAAACACGCTCCTTTCATCTATGAAAAAACCTTTCCAACTTATATAGACAGATTAATCCACACAGACAGCTTTATCCATACAGGACTTAATGGAAAACCAATCAAATAACTCCTAAGTTAAGGGCTAATGACTATAATACTAGCAAAGAAACACATCACACTAGTTCTCAAGAAACACCTACGAGAACATGTAACATAAAACAAAGAAGAACGTAGCATTTTTAGAGGTAGTTCACATTGAGGCGCCATTTGTTTTTTAAGAGATACTGAACTCTAAAATCTTATTTTACTTCATATTAGTAAGAGATGATGGTGTGTGAAGTCCGAGAACAGAAACAAATAGATTGTTTGATTTGTAAACCGATAAATATCTGAATGTGTGTAATTATCTATGTATTATCGATTGCATACTCTTTACTCGTTGACCGTGTGAATCCATGACCATATTCCAATCTTCTGCAGATTGAAACACTTTTTATGTTGTCCTTGATACACGTTCATCATGACCTAACCTCCAAAAAGAAAGCTACAGAGTTTTGTAGACAAATGGTAAGCATTCCAAGAACTCCAATTTAGAGTTTTGTGGTGAAAAACTTGTAAGGTATCATAAAGTTTTCTTTTCTACTTTTTAGGCTAGTTTTGGTTGATCATAGAAGCTTCTGAGCCCAAGTGTCTAAACTTGAACCATGTTCATAGAAGGTTCTAATACTCGGGGTGTGGCGACGACTGTCACAAGCCCTATTGTAGATATGTATCTCCGTTAAAGGGCCTTGTTCGACTTTATGGTCAATTTTCTTTGATCACGGGATGTGGACTTCCCTTCGGTATATGTGTAATGTTGTAATACGGTGTAAAAGTGTAAGGGTAATATTTTATGTTAATAAAGGTTTTAATGAATTTGTTTCATGAAATTTGATTAGTTTTGTGTTCGGGTTGTGATAACTCGACGCCTGAACGGAGCTTTCGTTAGTGTTTCTTGTTGCTTTATGTTGGAGCATAGTTTTAGTGTCCAAGTCCTTGTTAACTATGATTGGATTCATGCCACCCTATTGTACAAGTCTTGCAACCATCACGAGGAGCTAAATTGTATGCCGACAGGCTATTTGGAGTCGAACCGCGAAACCTTGCATTGTTTCTGTAATGATGTATACCTTCTTACCCGCTAGACTAAGCTACATAGACCATCCCACTTGCGAATTTTTTAATTTTTGGCAACTCAAAAGACCATGTCACTCTGGTTACACTGGTACAATGTTATATGGCGTAAGACGTGTCTCTGCCGTTACGATGAGGCCTATAGAGTTTCTGTAAGGCGTGCTCATGCCATGTGGACTTGAAGCGTGTCATGGCGCGCTGCGGCGTGCGTTTTTTGCAATGCGTAATCTTTTTCCAAAAATTGTTTTTTTTTTTTTTTTTGATTTTTGTGTTTTTTCACTTTTATACACGTCATGAAACGAAGTTATAAAATTAACAATCTAAGTTCTATTTTGAATATTTAATCTAAGAATATTTTTTATAATAATAAATTATATGATTTTTCTTATTCTAATATGAATGTAATTTTTTTTTAATATCATTATCTAATTGAAAAATATATATAGAAAACATAAACGCGTTATATATATAGGATTGACCTTTTACAAACCCAACTATCAGTAAAAATCAATTAATTAAGATATTTATAGGAATAAGTATATTTTTTTATGATCTGGATACTTATGAAGATCATCATACTTCATTTATTATGATCAAGACTTTATATTAGAAAACAATTAAGATAATTATTGAATGAGGTGAACGGTTAAGATTAGTTTGTATGGTTTATACTAATGGTAGAGTTTGTAAATGAAACCATCTTAATATATATAATTCAATATATGATATACAAATTTATCACCTTATGTCATGCCTTAAAAAACGTTGCATTCTTACCGTGACGTATAAGGTTTGAGGCAAATTAAATAAATTTAATATTTTAATACTATAATTAACGTTTAGAAAATTATAGTAAATTTGTCCACCAGAATCTCTAAATATGGAAAAAATAAAGATCTTAAATATCTTTTTATAAAATTTGTCTATAGAATCTTTAAATCTTTTTGGAAAAAAAAAAAAAAAAAGAAATTCGTTAAATATGGAAAACTCCGAAATTTGTTTGAATGAAAGACGATGTATATTAATTAGCAGGCCTGGTTCAAAGCATCAAAAAAAAGGGTCATGACCCTTAACTAGTCTTTATAAAAAAAATTAAGGTTTAATTTGTATCTGACGGGCCTACTCAATCCCGAATATCTGACGTCTGACCTGACGTGTTTTCATTCATTATTCTGGTTTTGATCGAACTTAAGTTGGGCCTACATCTATTTCGAAGTGAGCCCAATAACCAGTTGCGAATAGGGTTCTAGAACAACGATATAAGGTTTATAAAATATTATTTTTGAAGATCTTTTCCACGTGACGTATTCAAATCTTATAGTAATCTGACTTCTGATTTCTTGAAACATAAACAGTCATTCACCACAGTCTATCAACTTCGTCATTCGAAGATTCGTTTTCATCTTCAACCACGTTCTTATATTCAATTCCCATAACCATCTGGCCCGATCAAGTCATCAACTTCGACAAACATAAGTTATTCTTCATGACTCGACCGTTACTGAACTCATTGAATAACAGAGTCAATTACAGACCCGCATAAGAGAACATGCTCCTACTGTAACGTATAAGATATTAAATATACAACTGCTACTTAATAATAATATCGATTTGAATTATCGTTGTTGTTTACTTTAACCGTGCTTAAACTAACAGATAGGAATCGTGGTTAAATGTACAGTATTTTCAGAAAGCAGTATAATAATCAATTTACCGTATTAACCAAACCCTAAGAATTTAACATTTCTTGAAAGATTCATATATGAATAGAGCTTGAAAATTGTATGGAAATGGGGTTGAACTTGAAAACCTAAATTGAAGCTAAAAAGATGGGGTATGAGAAGAAAAAATTAAAAATTAAAAAAAGGGGAATGATTTGTTTCCTCTGTCGATTTATGTTCATTTTGGGGCGTAGAATATTACATCTGGTGTCATAATTTGGAAAGCCAGCTTTTGAATCCCTAACTAGCTTAAAAAAAGCTTCGACAAGATGGTGAAGATTGCGAGTTTCAGTGGCTGATTTCGAGTTTTTTCTATAGAATTCTTCTCTACCCATAACCCCTAACTTCACCTCTGACTTCAATTCGTGTTTTTTTTTTTAACTTTTTCTTTCCGAATAGCAGTATGCGAATGCGAATGCGACTGCTGCTTCTCCTGTTCTTGTGGCTCTTCTTCTCCGATGTGGCTGCGTCGCCGGAAGAAGTCCGAGCATTACTCGAGTTCAAGAAGGGGATCAGTGAAGATCCCCTCGGAAAAGTGTTTGATTCATGGAACGTTTCCAGCTCGGATCCAGCTTCTGTTTGCCCCCAATTTTATGGCGTGTCCTGCGACGAAAACGGGTTAGTCGCCGCCATTGTTCTTGACCACCTTGACTTGGCCGGCGAACTCAAGTTTTTCACTCTATATTCCTTGAAGATGCTCCGGAATTTGAGTCTTTCCGGTAATAGACTCAGTGGCCGCCTTGTTCCAGCTCTTGGATCAATGTACTCTCTTCAATATCTGGATCTGTCTCGAAACCAATTTTATGGTCCAATTCCTGCTCGTATCAACGATCTCTACGGGCTAAACCACCTCAATTTGTCTAATAACAATTTCACAGGAGGGTTTCCAAATGGGATTCAGAATCTGCAGCAATTGATGGTTCTCGATTTGCATTCAAATTCGTTGTGGGGAGATATAGGGGTTCTGTTTTCTGAGCTTAGAAATGTGCAATTCGTTGACTTAAGCGACAATTCGTTTTATGGGTCGCTATCCATGGATGTGGGCAATATTTCTAGCGTAGTTAATACAGTTCAACATGTCAATTTGAGTCGCAACAGATTGAGTGGTTCGTTTCTCAGTGCTGATTCTCTTGTTCTCTTTAGGAACCTGCATGTTCTGGATTTGGGGGATAATCAGTTGAATGGGAAGTTGCCTTCATTTGGGTCATTGCCAAATCTTCAGGTGTTGAGGCTAAGCAATACACAGTTGTTTGGACCGATACCCGAAGAACTCTTGGAGAGTATGATTCCTCTAAAAGAGTTAGATCTCAGTCGTAATGGGTTTTCAGGTAAAGATCTTGATCTTGATTTCTGAAGAAAAAAACAAATATATGATTACCGTTTTATCCTTTGTCATCATATACAATGTTTATAGTTGCTAATAATGGTGCATTTGAGTGATGTAGTAATTGTTGATTTGGGATTTTAGCCTCTTGGATTCATTGAGAATCTTGATTGATGAACTTGGTTTCTTTAAGGGACAAGTCTACTGAGTTGAGCCTGGCGATTTTCTTATGTTTTAACAATGGAGTGATTCTAATGGTATCCTGTGGAATAGGGTTGTTTCCTGTACACGATCATAAGTCTAGAACCCTCATTATTGTGCAAACACGAATCATGTTAGGGCGATTTTCTTGGATTCATTGCTAGGGCGATTACCCACACGTCATCTCAAACTTTGATCAATACCCTTTGACAAATGGTCAAGTATATACGTGTGTGTTTCGTACGCCAGACGGGACAGGGACAGTACAAAAACTTCTTGTCCCACTTTTAACGCGATATTAGACTGGGACAGGGTGGATTGGTAAATTACTAAACTACCCATGTCAAATTAAAACCCTAAGACCTCTCGTAGTTATTTCACCCGCACGCCATGAGTCCTTTCCACTATGCGATGGAGGAAAAACCGTTCTAGGTTTGCTTGCTTCATTGAATTCCCTGTTTTTTTCAATTTACCTATATTTGAATAAAGAAAATCCTTGATGTATATATTTATTGGAATTGCATATGTTAAAAGTGACGATAGACATACAAGTTATATCTTTTTCAAGAACAAGGTTAGGCTACAACCTTCTCGGTTATTGTTTTGTTGATAATAAATCCTAAAGTCATAAGCCACGGTATGCCTACAAATGAGTCTTTTGATGTTTTTGGTACACAAAGGGGCATTCGTGGAAGCAATCAGTCGCTTTTGATGAAGGTTCTAGAAGGCCTCTTCTTTACATAGTTACAAGTGTTGGAGTTAGATATTAGACAGCATTTGAACTTAGCCTGAGACTTCTGTCTTCTTGAAGTATATAATTATATACGGCAAATACTCACACACACTCCTCATCTTTGATGAAGTTTGAATCCTTTTTCATACTGTGACGATTTCTTGCTTTCAAGAAACAGACCAAATATCAATTTGTAACGATATTTATCTAAACCTGAAGCATCTCAATGTATATAGCCTGATTTGTCCTACATGAATTCCGGACCTATCATTTCCAAGAACGGAATCCACCATTTTATGTTTCTCGTTTGTTGGTTCTATATGCTTTTATGCAACCCTTTTGTTGCATTTCCAACTGTTTTTGTTCTGCTAAACAGTTATAAAATGTATATCACGATCAAAAGACTGATAAATGTATGATCTTTGCTTTTGTCAACTTTCTGTTCATGTTTTCTTTCTTATGTTCAATTGCAGGTTCGGTTCCAAGAATCAATTCGTCCACTTTGACTACTTTGAATCTGTCATCAAATGAGCTATCAGGTTCATTGCCATCTTCTATCGGAAATTGCGAGATTGTCGATTTGAGCAATAATCTACTATCTGGTGACATCTCTGTTATTCAGGAATGGGAATCACCTATAGGAATTCTTGATTTGAGCTCAAATAAGTTGTTCGGGAATTTGCCTAACTTAACATCGCACTTTAAGGGACTGACTGTTCTTAATGTCGGAAATAACTCGTTAAAAGGCTCTGTGCCCCCTTTTCTGATATCGTCGCCCAGCCTGACTCTTCTTGACCTCAGCATGAATGAACTCGATGGGTCTATTCCGACTGCTTTATTCACTTCGATGACTTTGACCCATTTGGATCTTTCGAATAACCGTTTCACAGGTCCAATTCCACTTCAAGGGTCACAAGAAAAATCATTAATCGTAATATCCTCGTATCCACACATGGAGTTTCTTGATCTCTCGTATAATTCCTTAACGGGCACATTATCGTCAGATATAGGCAACTTCAGGAGGCTTAGATCGTTGAATCTTGGAAATAACGAGTTATCCGGCGAATTGCCGAATGAATTGAGCAAACTTGGTGAATTGGAGTTTCTTGATTTATCTGATAATAGCTTCAAGGGTAAGATCCCAAACAGCCTTTCTTCATTGCTGAAGTTTCTTAATGTATCCGGTAACGATTTATCTGGGCGAATTCCTGAAAACTTGAAAAACTTCTCGGATGCTTCGTTCTTTCCGGGAAACCCGTCCTTGCGGTCAGCTGGCGGTCGGCCGCCTTCTGGTGGTGATTTCCCTTCACAAGCTCAAGATGGAGCAAAAGGCCAAAACTCAAAGTCTAGCATCAGAATAGCGATTATCGTTGCTTCTGTTGTAGCTGCATTAATGATAGCGTTTGTGCTACTGGCGTATTATCGAGCGCAACTTGGAGATTTCCGTGTTAAAACTGCATTTGGTGGCCAGATGGCCGGTAGGGATATTAAGAACGGGATATCTAGTCTCCCCACTACATCGCTGAGTTTTTCAAATGCTCACTTGCTAACTTCAAATTCACGATCGGTCTCAGGACCGTCGGAGCTTGGTGGCGACAATGTTGAGCCAGTGGTGCCGCCAGGGTATGCCGCTAGTTCAACATCAATGATACCCAACCTGATCGATACCGATCCTGCACCATCCGGAAGGAAATCTTCTCCAGATTCTCCAGTTGCTTCCTCACCCCGTTTTGTTGAGACAATCGAACACGCTGTGACGTTGGACGTGTATTCACCGGATCGGTTTGCTGGGCAGCTGTTCTTCTTCGACCCAAGGTCGCACCTATCTTTTACAGCTGAAGACCTATCACGGGCTCCAGCCGAGATTCTTGGAAGAAGCAGCCATGGAACACTGTACAAAGCCACCCTCGGTGGCGGACATATGTTAACGGTAAAGTGGTTGAGGGTCGGATTGACGAAAGATAAAAAGGAATTTGCAAAGGAGATTAAGAAGATCGGAACAATGATTCACCCTAACGTTGTGCGACTACTCGCGTATTATTGGGGCCCGAGAGAACAAGAAAGACTTACGTTGGCCAACTACATCGAGGGAGATAGCTTGGCTTTACATCTTTATGGTGAGCATTTGTGGCTTTCGGTTGTGCTTTCTATTTGTTTTACTCTTTTTTTCACAAGATTAGGTCTTACCGGAAACGATCTCTCTGTCTGTCGAGGCAGAGGAAAGGTCTGCATACTTTCTATCCCGGATCCTACCTTCAGGTGGGATATGCTGTGTCTGCAACCCCGAGGGGTCTTATTAGAAACTTAACAGTGTACCATTCCGTTGCAGAGACAACCCCTCGAAGATACTCCTTGCTATCGTTTAACCAACGGTTAAAAGTTGCCGTTGACGTCGCTCGAGGCTTATCGTACCTTCATGGAAGGGGCATGCCACATGGAAACCTGAAACCAACAAATATAATCTTGGAAGGCCCTCAATACGATGCCCGTCTCACTGACTTCAGTCTCCACCGTCTGATGACGCCTGCCGGCATTGCCGAGCAGATACTCAACCTTGGCGCACTCGGCTACCGTGCCCCTGAACTCGCATCCGCACCTCGACCCGTCCCATCACTGAAAGCCGACGTGTATGCATTCGGAGTCATCTTGATGGAACTTCTAACCAGAAGAAGTGCAGGTGACATCATTTCAGGTCAATCTGGTGCAGTCGATTTAACTGATTGGGTTCGATTGTGTGATCAAGAAGGTCGAGGGATGGATTGTATCGATCGGGACATTGCGGGGGGCGAGCAACAGTCGAAGGCCATGGACGATTTACTCGAAGTATCGCTCAGGTGCATACTTCCATTAACGGAAAGGCCGAATATGAGACAAATCTTGGAAGATTTATGTGCCATATCTGTTTGAAGCTTCTGTACAATGTGTTTTTGCTTGTTTATTTCTTTCGTTAATTGGTTTCGAGCCTCGGAATCCGGGCTAAAAACGACGACGATTCATTGTTTCCTCCCCTCCCCTCCCCTTGATTTTTTGATCTTTTCTTGTGTAAAGTCCATTGATTGTTTCTGATTTACTAATTGCAGGAAAGAACAGATCGTTTGCAGATTAGTCTTCTTGTTTAATTGATTTATTGTTTAATTTAATGCAATCCAAATTGGTGTTAAACTTAAACTATTCTTGTTGGTTGTATTTGTTCAAGTTAGGAAAGTTGAGGGACTGAAATTGTAATAAAGGTAAAACAAGGGGGTGAAAGTGTGTGAGGGACCACCGTAAGTTTGAGATGACCTGGATGCACCATTGTGTTGTTGAAAGCACGTGACCCAACTCCATTTTTACATTCTTAATTCCTTTTTAAAATATACTTTTAAATATAAATATAATATGATATGTTACTTTTCTTATTTATTCAACTCTTGGATTCCACATATTTCTAGTCCCAAAATCATAAATACGAATTGGAATCTTTTATCAAACGTTTATCGGGTAAGCGTTTACTGGTAAGAGTTATTATTCTTGCTGGGTAAGATTTTCGGTCATCAAAATGATATAATAGACAATAATCTTATCTAGTATTGGTAAGCACTAATCAGGTAACAGTGTCGGTTATTGTCATTCCTCTTACCAAGTCAGACCTCGGTTTTGATCATATTCATTCGGTAAGGTAAAATCAGGGGCGGACCTGTAAGGGTGGTATGGGTGGCACGTGCCACCGTATTATTTCGCCACCGAAGGGTAAAAATTTTAGGTTTGTTAACGGTGCTACCGTATTATTTTGAAAGGTGCTACCGTATTATTTTGAAAAGTGCTACCGTATTATTCAAACATAGCAATTAAAACCCAAACAAAAAAGGCCCAATTGTCCAAATTAATAAAATGCAAAGCCCAATTAACTTATTAACATTTTCAAAATTTAATTATATGATTAAGCCCAATTAACAATTTGTGTTTTTAAAGCCTTTAGTTTAGAGTAGAGATTAGAGATGGCCAAAAACCGGTCCCGGGCTGGTCGCGGGCCGGTCCCAATCGGTCCTCACCATTCTCATAACCGGTCCCGGCGTAACCGGTCAAACTTGCTCATAACCGGTTAAGCCGGCCGGTCCGGGTTCCGGTCCCATAACCGGTTACGGCCGGTCCTTTGAAAAAAAAAATATTTTTTTTAATTTTTTGGTAATTAATAAATTTATTATATGTTATTAATATCTTTAAAAAATTTTATTTTTAATATGTTTTATTATAAATATGTTTTATTATAAATACGTTTTGTTATATATTATATATATACGTTTAATTTTATAAATACGTTTTGTTATATACGTTTTGTTATATACGTTTAATTTTATAAATACGTTTTGTTATATACATTTAAGAATACACTTTAAAAATACGGTTTACTCAAATACACTTTAAAAGTACGTTTTATTATGATTAAAGTGGCATTGTTTTACAAAATGCAATAAAATACATTTATTTATCAATCTTCATCGGTATCCCATGTCGGATTCTGAAGAGTTCCGGTCTCTTGAATTCTTCTAATAGCCTCTTGGTCTTCAAGGTCATCAATGTCGAGTTCCT